CTTTTGTATTTCTAACAAAACTTGTAGAGGCAATTTTTCTCTTTCTAATGGTAATAAAATTATCAAAATTGGCCTGAAGAAATGTGAGATATTCTTATATTTGTCTTTGTAGTTATATGAAATTTTTTTTTACATTTGCAAAGAAAATTTCATATAATCGTAAAGACAAAAATAGGAATATCTCACGATCCATTAGGCCATTTTGATGATTTTACTACCATTAGAAAGAGAAAATTTGCTTCTACGATTTTGTTAAAAATACAAAAGATGTTAACTTGACAGAATTTGGGAAATTTTTATTCCGGCTCCAGATTATAGAAATTAATTGTTTTTACTATTAAATTGCTCCATTTCTACATATAGAAATTCTGTACATCTCTCGCGAATCGCGAATTAAGGATTTTTTGTGAGGGTAGTAATCAAGATTATTTATCATTATTTATATATCTTTTAATTGTAAAGAATAACTTGCATGTTTTTAGATGTTTACACTGAATCGCTTTACCTTTTTCATTTGTTTTAACATGAATTTATTCTTAAACATGTTTATAATTTAACGTTAATATTTATTCAAGTTGTTTCTTTACAAAATCCAGTTACACGCTGCAAACTATTCAAAAGAGTGAGGTTTTCGTCGTAGAATAATTTAATACTAGAACACAAATTTTTTAACGTAATTTTATTATAAATGTGTTAGGAATAAAATTTATGCTAAAATAGTTAAAAAAGTAAGCGATTCGCTCTTGGGCATTTAAAAACACTTTACTATTAAAATATATATAAAAAGTGGTAAATAATCCTGATCACTAATCTCAAATTAAAGAAATCCTTCACGTTAATAATTAATTTCATATAGTTTTGATTTACACCTTCCTTCTTCCTTTTGATCTGAGCCGATATTCGATTCTTCCTACAAGCTGTAAATATTCTTTGTTTACCTAAGTCATTAATCATCATTTCTTTTATGAGTCATACTGTAGTTGTCTTTTTTAGCTTCAATATTTATGGCAGTTAGAAGGAAATGTTAGAGTTGTTATCCGGATCAGGTTAGCCTGTACGGTCAAAAATACCAACGTCACCAATAATCTGGGTTAGCAGCACATGATTTTCTAGCCTTTAATTTTTATTGAACCTGACGTACTTCTATCATATACCAACATCCAGAAAATTTGTGTATCAGGTGCGCTTATAGTTGCTGGATAGGAACTAGTTCCTCCGAATATCTAGATCAGATTGTTAATAATCGACGTTTTACTGTACATAAAATAAGTAACAACTATCGTTGGAGTAAGTATTAGCTAATTTAACTCAATTCAGGTTTAATCATAGAAGCATACAGTAGAGTTTCATATAAATAATGCAGTATAAGATATAGGCTTATGGATTTAACGTGCGAATTTAACGTTAACTATTCTATAAATTAAATTTTTGGTAAGAATCTTAAAAATACAATTATTTATGGGGAATTTACACATCGGGACCCGAATTTGAAAATAATTATGAATGAGAGCCCAACTTAAAAAATATTTATTTATAAAAGCCTAATTTTTAAAATATTATAAATACGGGCCTAAGTATTTGCGTCGATGCCCATTGTGGTTTAAGCACGATCTCAAACCAATCATGATTTAACTTATACATACGTACGTACGTAACTCTAACAATTTGCTTATCATTATAAAATTGTCTTCAACTTAGGTTGTAAATATTATCGTTATGTCAAGCACATTACAAATCGGATGACATTTACTTGGAGAAACGGCACCAGAAGATCAAAATACTTGATAAAATGCGGTAAAAGGGCCACAATTTACGAACTTGTAATCGAAGACATAGGCAAAAAGAAATTTAATTTACAATGCTTAATGGAAAATTGCATTCATATAAATGCTGCCTTATATTATGCATCTAAAAATTACTTTAAAATGTTTCGCATAATTATTATATTTTTTTTACATATTAAATATATATACATAAATAACATAAATGCTTATTACGAATAAAACTTGGTAGCTGTAAATTATTACTTTAACTGAGTAAGGTGAGCGATCATTACAATATTGTGGCGCAACGATTCCTTGATTACATTAGAGCCCGCATTTGTAAAATTTCAAAAAATTAGCCTTTATAAATAAATATTTTTAAGTTGGACCCTCATTTATAATTATTTTTAAGTTGGACCCTCATTTATAATTATTTTCAAATTTGTTTTTGGTCCTGATGTGTAAATTCCTCATTATTTATTATTGTTTAATGAAAAGCTGTTATTTTTCCATTTTATCAACCCTATTCTCAATAAAAGATTGCAATTAAGGTTCTGTTTCTTAGTACAGTCGTCCTCCTCTACAGTCACCTCCTATATAATCACGCCCTCTTTATAAGCACCATTTTTTGAAAAATTATTGGCAATATATTTATTAAAAAAATTCTACAGTATATAATCACATTACTATTAAAATTTTATAATCACATCTTTTTTATGTAAAACAAACAGCGTGATTATAGAGGAGGACGACTGTATTATCTTTAGCAACAGCTATATATAAAAAATGGTATTATTTATTGATAACGACACTAATTTCAGGCTGAATAAATTTATTTATTAAATGGGATTCAACAGAGTCGGTTTAGAATTCTGTTACAACATATTTTGATTTGGAATTCAAAAACTCGAATTAGATGTACGAAGCTATAAAATAATGTAAAGCTCTAAACATATTCATGAGCTAAATAATGAAAAGACCATTCTGTCTAAATACAGTTCGCCTCGTTATAGTGAATATTCTGTATATTGAAGAATTTTGAATTACGGAACCTCAATATAAGCAATAATTAAGATTTTTTTTTACTAACAAGAGTGGAGTCGTATTCGTTTGTTTATCGTGTTTTCTTTTTTACTCGTATTATTTCCTTTATTTTTTGTCGAAATATGAATAACAAAATACAGATAAATGGGAAAAGAAAAAAAAGATGTATAATTTTTTATAGACCAGGGATGATAAATGACCTTCAAATGACAATTTTATTATGAATTTTAGTCCGAAATGTTAGGTCATTTGAAAAAAATGCAAATGACCTATAATTTTACCATCCTTGTTATAGACTGTGTACCCCATTGGGGTTACGCCGGATTTGGTATCTCAATTGTAGTTGGTAGTAGTTTTGACATTTCAACTTTACACCAGCTGATTTTTTCATACTCTATATTTAGTGGTTGTTCTTTTTCTTTTAAATCTATCAAACCTTCTTTCCACTTTTTAATTGCCGTTTCCATATCTTCTACAGAAGTACGGCTCTCAGCTTCCATGCGATCTCGATAAATACAATAAAATGACAGAGGAGAAGGCACAATCTTGCAAAAAGCCTCTACAGCGGCTCTTACTGTCTTTAAACCCGTCGAATGTTTAATTTCTGTATCAATTTTTAAACTTAAATCAGCTTTAATTTCTTCACCCCAAATTTTTTTCAGTACTTCTTTGACTGCATCAATTTTTTTTCTATCTATTTCATGTTTTCTGTATTCTGAATCATCGAAGCGAGAATCAATTTCTTTGAATTTTCCGACAGTTTCCTTTAACTTTATTTGCGAAATTTCTAACATATTACTTTTTTCTTCGTCTTCAGCAAGACATTTTTCAAATATTTGGTAAGCTTCATTTTCTTTAACAATTGAAGCAGAATCGGAACCAGTAACAGTCAACCAACCACCAGTCGACAAAATGATGCCTGGTACAAAAACAAGAGGAAACCAAAATCCTGAGAATGTCAAGGCTTTACCACATAGTACGGCAGTATGACCTAAAGTACTAACAAAACCTCGTTGCTTCATGTATTCTTTTACCTCTTCTTTACGATCTTCA